TTTTTTAAATCTAGTCTCTGTTGTTCATACTGGTAATTTCTATTCATCTATTTTCCAACTCACTGACTTTTCTTTTCATCCACGTTTTACTGAGCCTACCCACTGAGTCTGTTACTGTATATTTCCGTTCTAAAATTCCCCCCACACCTTTTTTTAAAGAGAGAAAGAGAATTTTTTAATATTTATTTTTCAGTTTTCAGTGTACACAACATTATGTGGTGCTGAGGATGGAACCCAGTGCCCTGTGCATGCCAGGTGAGCACGTTACCGCTTGAGCCACATCCCCAGTCCCGCTTTGGTTCTTCTTTATATTGTTGTAGGGACAGACAAGGCAAGGCACCGAAGATAGCAGGAAATAGTTTTAATTGTCTGCACCCAGGTTCAGAGGGCACAGCTTTTGCTGTAATTAATCAATCCTCTGAACTCCGAGTTCAGGTAGTTTCAGAATTGTATACCCAGCCATGTAAGGGGAGGGGCTCAGGAGTTCACAGTATGTAGAAGTTCACATAAAAGCAGTTTTTTTCTTTCACTGTTCTGGGCAAGTTAACCCTTCAAGGACAACACCTGAGAAGAGGGAAGCTTCTTCTTCCCTCCCTCTGCCAGCTGTTACCATGGAGCCCAATTGGCAACTTCTCTTACCTTAGAAATGTAGACATCTCTGTGAAGCCCCAGCTCATGGCCAGAGGCCTCGTTTACACATTTCTACAAACTACTATACTGGATACATGTTTGTGAAAAACTAGTAAGGGGGTGTCCAGCACCTGGAGTGCTGATTTCTTCCCAGCCAGTGTCCAAGACAGGGCAACATGAAAATAGGAAGTTTATCTACATTGAACTATTTTGTAGAGACTCTTTTGCTGACAGTCCTAAAATCAGCCATGGTGAAGATTTCTAAAGAAGCCCAGTTAAGACTTTTCTGAGGAGAAAGGGGGTACCATTACAGTATCTTTGCTGAAACTTTCAGTTCAAGAGTATTTACTGTTAACCTTGGAAATTTTTTTACAACAGCTACTTCCAAGTCTTTGTCAGACAATCTATGTCTTTTTGGTTTAGGCTGATTTCTTTTCCTAATGCATACTGAGATTTTTAAGTTATTTGTATGCTAAGCAATTTTGGATTGTATTCCTGATGTTCTGAATGTATTAATTTGTATGCCTTGTTTTATCCTACATAAAATTTTGTTTTTAGGCAATGAGCCCAGTTGGATTCAGGCCACAAGTTCAATCAGCAAACTGTGGCCTGTTTCCAGTGTCAGCTCAAGTTTTTAAAACTCAACTATGCTATTGGGATCTGTCTCTTGTGCACACAGTGTAGGACTTGGCTGAACATCATTTTTTTTCTTTTTTTTTTGAGATTAAGAATCTTTTATTTGTTAGATTTTATTTGTTAGATTTTATTTGTTAGATTTTAGATACATATGGCAGTACAATGTATTTTGACACTATACATACATGGAGTATAAAATTCAAATTAGGGATCCCATTCTTGTGGTTGCACATAACGTGGAGTTTTACTGGTCATGTATTCATAGATGAACAGTGGAAAGTTATGTCTGATTCATTCTACTTCATTAAAATCTGTGTATGCTATTTGGAGTCAGAGCCATACATGTAGCCTGACAGTGAATAGTTACTCAAAAATAACTTTAAGGGGTTGCTTTCCGAAGTTCCTTACTCTCTTTAAAGTTTCCCAGTACTTCTAGGTTCCCTGATGCTCACCCTTGCAGTCCTCCAAGTAAAAAGCTGGGGCTTTAGTTACCCTGCTTTGCTGCACACTTCTAACAACTGTGGCTACATCCAGGCCAGGAAGTGAGTGGAAAGTGAAAAAAAGCAATGAGATCACAGCTTCTCTGAAGAAAGGTTCCTGTCCTCAGAGTTTTGGGTTTGTTTCTACTAAGCCTTCCTTTAATTTAGCTGAAAATGACTTCTTCATATTAGTACCTTCGTAGGTCCTTCATAATACCTTATATACTTATAAAAAATATCTTTAGATGTTATTGGACCTTTATTTTATTCATTTATTTTTATGTGGTGCTGAAATCAAACCCAGTGTACATCATTTGCTAGGCAAGCACTCTACCACTGAGCCACAATCCCAGCCGC